GTGTGAGATGAGTGCAATTGTGCAGTAGTTTGAGCATTCTTTGGCATTGCCTTTCTTAGGCACTGGAATGAAAACTGACCTTTTCCAGTCCTGTGGCCACTGCTGAGTTTTTGAAATTTGCTGGCATATTGAGTGTAGCACTTTCACAGCATCATCTTTCAGGACTTGAAATAGCTCAACTGGAATTCCATCACATCCACTAGCTTTGTTCGTAATGATGCTTTCTAGGCCCACTTGACTTCACATTCCAGGATGTCTGGCTCTAGGTGAGTGATCACACCATTGTGATTATCTGGATTGTGAAGATCTTTTTTGTACAGTTTTTCTTTGTATACTTGCCACCTCTTCTTAATATCTTCTGCTTCTGTTAGGTCCATACCATTTCTGTCCTTTATTGAGCCCATTTTTGCATGAAATGTTCCCTAGGTATCTCTAATTTTCTTGAAGAGATCTCTAGTCTTTCCCATTCTGTTGTTTTCCTCTATTTCTTTGCATTGATCACTGAGGAAGGCTTTCTTGTCTGGATTATATAAATATTATTTAATATAGTCATGCTACATTAATTTGACTGGCTTTTTATTTTAAAATTTATTAAAGTACTACACAATTGAAATGATTAAATAGGTATTTTCCACAACCCTATGGGGAATTATAGGTTAAATGATAATTCTTTTAAAATATCTTTGAGAGTTCTTGGAATTAATACCAAGAGTCAGCTTCAAAATTTGTAAGTTAAGCGTTCAGTGAGTTTTTCCGAGCCAGTTTCTCTTACAACTTCTATCTATCCCTTTATTCTGCTTATTTCTTCACGAACTGAACCTAACCTCTGTCCCTCAAACACTCCAACTTCCAAGACAGCAGAGACTGCAGACAGAGTAGAACTTTCTGGAAACCTGGAGGGCCCTTTCAAGATGAAAATACTATTCTAAGAATCACTTTGTAATTTTTGGGTTCATATAAAATTAACTGAATCTGATATATAAATATCAAAAGTTTTAGATTGAGAATGGTGCAAATTCAGCCAGTTTCTCTCAATATTAAAATATTAAAAATTATTTTCTGAAATTCAACATCACAGGAAAGATAAGGAAATAAGGAGAGTTTTACTTTGAAACACTAAAATTACTCTTATTTTAGGATAGGTTTATAAGCTAAATAAAATGCAGATATCCCACAGACTTAACATACTTTTGAAAATTGAATCTATAACTATTTTCCTCTCTGGCATAATATTTAGAACAGTACCACAGCTAGTTTGTTTCTGTTGAATGTTTCTGTGGTATGCAAAGAAAATAGTTATGATAGCTAATATGTATAAAGCACTTTTCATATGCCAGGCATTTTCCTAAGATTTTTAAAAACATATTAATTTAATATTCATAATATTCCTCCAAAGTCAGGTTCTATTATCATCAACCCAGCTTCCAGATGAGAAAACTGAGATAGATGATAAGATGATTAATGATGATGAGTCATCTAACAGAGTAGATTTAAATGGCAGAGCTCAAATGCGAACCTAGCTATGACTTCAGGGCCTCTATTTTAATGATCCTTACTACTATACAGTGCTAGCTAGCCCCCAAGTGTTGGAATGATTATGATTTCATTGAGAAAGTCCAACAAAAAATACTTTCTTCATCTCTTCTAGCGCTTTTGTGACTCCTTCATTTCTGAAATTTTTGTTACTCATCTCATATCCCTGAATGTTCTGGACAACTGTGTCTCTGCTAAGCATCCCAAGGTGCTGAATTGTATCAGCACCATTGTCTCCAACAGTTCCCTTTGTTTCCAAGAAGAACAGAGAAACGGAGCATTGACAATACAGAGATTTCAAAGCAGGTGTTCCACTAGGAGAAACTTCTTCAGAAAGACTCAGGGAGTTAAGGGGCTTAGATGTTCTTCCCTAAAGCAATGGTAATTCAAAGTTTATCTGTTTCATTTAGGCCTACCTGTCATTTAAAGTGAAAGTAAAGAACAAAAAAAATCCTGCATGGATAAGAGGAACAGCAGGAGAGATTTAATTCCCTTCCATCTCAGAGGCAGGATGTCTGACACATAAAAAAGCAAGCTGGAAGAAAAATACCCCTTGGAGGGGAATGACTGCTAGATTATGAAATCACCGGTATGAGACTTGGGAAGGACCTATTAAGGCCTCTCATCCGTTCTCATTACACAGCTGCCTCTGGTGGGCTCTGAACTGCTGTGACTCATCTCATTTTAAATAACTCCTGCTTCACGACCTTCTCCTGAGACTGCATTTCCAACCCGACTATTTAAAACCTCCACCTGACATTCAACCTGTCTCACTTTGGTCAGTTTCATCTTATTTCTTTTGTGATTTAATCTGTTGGCAAGCCGAAATCATTTTTCTCCTCTAAAGTACTTATAGTCTTCAAATATCAGTGGAATGATTTTTCTCCCTTATTATGATGACATAAAAGGAGAAAATGATAATCTGAACATCAAAGATTTTGACTACATAAAAGCTATCTGTCAGAGTCAATAGATATAGGTGCTTTCTATACGTCTCTCTAACTACTCTTGCCCAAGTGTGAGAGAGATTTTTTTTTTTTTAATTATAGTTAAGGGGAAAAAAAATGGTCAAATTATTTGACTGTTTTAGGTCAGGATTCTCTAGAGAGTTGGGGTGATTATCACTTGGGGGTTAGTCTTCAGCTGTGCAGATTACTAATTTATCCCTAGAGGACCAGGCTGTGGGAAATCACTGATTCAAAAGAGAATAATTATGCATAAGATGATGCATGTCATAATTTTAGTTTTAAGCATGTAAGTCTAATGAGATTGGCCATCTATGCAGAGCATATATATATATTTTTTTATCCATAGGGTCACACTGGTAACTAATTTAGCAGGATCCTGTTAACATTACTTTCAGATTATATCCAGAATCTGACCTCATATCACCACATGTGAGTCCCATGGCCTCTTTTCTGGATTAAGTGATAACTTTTCACTGGTCTCCTTGACAACTCTCTTGCCCTTCCATAAACTGTTCTACCAATCAAAGTGAATCTTCTCATTCCTACACTTAAACGTCGATGGCTCCTCACTTCCCTGGGGAAAAGGGCAGAGCCATGGAAGACTCATTATTATCTGAACCCCACTGGCCTTATTGATTCTGTTTCAGTAATGCTGGTTTCCTGGCTTTCCTTCATACAGGTCAGGCATGCGTCCTTTAGACCCTTTACTCTGGGTGTTTCCTATGCCTGGAGTAATCTGTATGTCCCTTAAAATTTTGATTCAAATGTCACTTATTGTTTCAATGAGACCCAACCTAATGACCGTATTTTAATTTGCAGAAGCACCTCAACATCTGCCCTCCCCATTGATGTTACTAAGCTCTGTATTTTCCCCCAAGTACTCATTAACATTAAACAGACGCCCAAAATGTAATGATTTGTGATGCGTAGTGCTTATTTTCTGTTTTTCTTTGCTATAAAATGTGTTCCATAAAAGAAGAAAATCTGGTTTTTTTTATTCACAGATACATCCAGGGGTCTTGAATAGGGCCTGGACTCAAAAAAATACTTCTTAAATAAAAGAGTGAATGAATACAACGAGTGGGAGTTTCAATGATTTCTTAGAGAAATAGATAAAAAGTAGTCATATTCTTGTTAAGAAATATTTTATGAACTGTAATTTGTGTGAACTGTATTTTGTTATCCTGGGCTGCATTTTCTAAGGAACTAGGATTATTCAGATACATTTCTACTATAAAAAAAAAATGTGTGCTCTTACTAAGTGTAATTTGCAATTGACATTAGATCAGCTAGTTAATTTTCAACTTATAAAAACATGGATATTGATCTATGTAATACATGCTGCTATACTTAATTGCTCAGTCATGTCCAACTCTTTGTGACCCCATGGATTGTAGCCTGCCAGGCTCCTTTGTCTCGGGGATCCTCCAGGCAAGAGTATTGGAGTGGGTTGCCATCCCCTCTTCCAGAAGATCTTCCCAACCCAGGGATCAAACCCAGGTCTTCTGCATTGCAGGTTGGTTGTTTTACCATTTAAGTCACCAGGGAATATTAAATTACAATGCATATGTGCTTAGGCTATTTTTATGTTATAAGCAATTTCATGTAGTCAATCACTTATTAAAAAATGACTTATCGAGTCAAAACTGTAGACATTTGCTCATTAATTAAAAATAATTTTACATATTAGTTATATTCAGGTACTGAAAATGCACTAGCATCTCAAAGATGAAAAAAGACAAGGTTCTTGTTCCTGAAGAGAACATTGTGATGAAAAGAAACAAACAAGTAAGCAAATTTAAGGTCATGTGATAGGAAAAATAAAAGAGGTGCTTTAAAGCTTAATGGAAAGGAAAATCTTAACTTGAAAGTTCCAGAAAGGCTTTGTAGAAATTATGATGTGTGATCCATATCCTCAATACCTAGAACCATGTTTAGTTAAAAGAAACATTTAATATGTGTTTTTTGAATTGAATTGACTTCTCAATAGTAAACGTTATTATAGGATTGATTTTGTCTAAGAAAATCATCTAAAGGCATGAATTCCTATTCTGTCCTTTTTGTAATTTTCCTTATTTTTTAAACAGCTTCCCTGGTAGCTCAGCTGGTAAGATCAAAAGCAATGCAACTGCATTCCTTTTTTGAATTGAATCCACCTGCAATGCAGGAGACCCCAGTTCGATTCCTGGGTTGGGAAGATCCCCTGGAGAAGGGAAAGGCTACACACTCCAGTATTCTGGCCTGGAGAATTCCATGGATTCCATGGGTTTGCAAAGAGTCAGACATGACTGAGCAACTTTCACTTTCACTTTACTTTGTAAGATCCATATTACATCTAGATTTGTAGTTAGATCTACTTCTGTTTCATTGATGATGCTGAAGCCTTTGACTGCATGGATCACAACAAACTGGAAAATTCTTAAAACGATGGGAATACCAGACCACCTTACCTATCTCCTGAGATACCTGTATGCAGGTCAAGAAGCAACAGTTAGACAGGACATGGAACAACAGATTGGTTCAAAATTGGGAAAGGAGTATGACAAGGCTGTATATCATCACCCTGCTTATTTAACATATATGCAGAGTAAATCACTGAAATGCTGAGCTGGATGAGTCACAAGCTAAAGTCAGACTTCTGGGAGAAATATTAATAACCTCAGATAGGCAGACAATATCACTCTAATGGCAGAAAGTGAAGAGGAACTTACAAACTTCTTGATGAGGGTTAAAAAGGAAAGTGAAAAAGTTGTCTCAAAGCTCAACATCCAAAAAACTATTAATAAGATCATGGCATCCATTTCCATCACTTCATGGCAAATAGCAGGAACAAAAGTGGAAGCAGTGACAGATTTTATTGTCTTGGGTTTCAAACTCACTGAGGACAGTGACTGCAGTCATGAAATTAAAAGACACTTGCTCCTTGGAAGGAAAGCTGTGACAAACCGTGACAGCATATTAAAAAGTAGAGACATAAGTTTGCCAACAAAGTCCATCTAGTCAAAGCTATGGTTTTTTGCATCATGTATGGATGTGAGAGTTGGACGATAAAGAAAGCTGAGAACCAAAACATTGATGCTTTTAAATTGTAATGATGGAGGACTCTGAAGAGTCTCCTGGACTGAAAGAAGATCAAACCAGTCGATCCTAAAGGAAATCAACACTGAATATTCATCGGAAAGACTGATGCTGAAGTTGAAGTTCCAATACTTTGGCCACTGGATATGAAGAGCTGATTTATTGGAAAAGACCCTGATGCTGGGAAAAATAAAGGCAAAAGGAGAAGGGGGTGACAGAGGATGAGATGGTTAGATAGCAACTCAACGGACATGAATCTCAGCAAATTCTGGGAGACAGTGAAGGACAGGGAAGGCTGGTGTGCTGCAGACCATGGGGTCTAAAGGAGTCAGACACAACTTAGCGACTGAACAACAACAACAAATATTACAAATACATGCATCCAAGATGTATGTGGTTGGTCTTTTCACTACAAGTGCCTTATCCCCTAATAATCCCCAATAATTTCTGGTCTGAGTCAGATTTCATCATCTTAATGTTTCCACCTGAAATCCAGTTCTAATATCTCACTTATGTGACAAATATACTTATAAAACATCACCTTTCCCTTCAGTTCAGTTTAGTTCAGTCACTCAGTCGTGTCTGACTCTTTGCGTCCCCATGGACTGCAGCACACCAGGCCTCCCTGTCCATCACCAACTCCCGGAGTTTACTCAAACTCATGTCCATTGAGTTGGTGATGCCATCCGACCATCTCATCCTCTAGGACCAGGCTTTAGAATCAGATCTTCCATAGTTTTTCTGTTATGGTCTGAATGGTGGTCTCCCTCCTGCCCCCAATATGCTGAAACCCTAAACCCCAATGTGATGAGAGTGGAGATGGGTCTTTTGGAGGGTAATCACTTCATGAAGGTGGAGCCCTCATGATGGTATAAGTGATCTTGTAAGAAGAGACAGGAGAGATCTCTCTCTTACGTTCTTTCTCTGCTACGTGAGAATAGAGTAAGAAGGCTCATGTTTGTGAACCAAAAGGAGGGCTCTCATCAGAACCACACCATGCTGACACCCTGACCTCAGACTTCCTGTCTTCAGAATTGTGAAAAATAAATATTGATTGTTTAAGAATACCAATCTGTAGAATTCAGTTATAGCAGCCTGAACAGTCTAAGAAGGCTTGTCAGAAGTAAACCTGACTCTTTATCTGTATTTCAAGGTGGTATGATATTGATCTATTGAAAAGTCTTAAAAAACTAATTTCAGCAAAGCTGCAAGACACAAGGTCAATATCCAAAATCAACTGGATTTCTATACACTAGCAGTGAACAATGAGAAAGTGAAATTAAGACCAAAGTTCAGAAAAGTTAATTACCTCCCACTAGCCCACTTAGTTAATAATAAGTGGCAAATCTATGGTAACAACCCAAGTCTCTTTGTCTCTAATGGCCTCTGTTCTTTTCAACATATCATGAATATATAAGGTAAAATATATATTTCTTGAAATACTTTTACTTGCCTATTTGATACCATTTTCAGTTAAATTCATTTTATTAGTCCATGATCAAAAAATAAAAAAAAACCTGAAGAGAAAAAGGTCTTGCATTTAATACTGCTCAATTTGAACTGTGGAACAAAATGCCACACTTTTTTCTTGGTTTCTGAATTAAACATTAATTATACCTGACTCATTGCCAAAAGTGTGGTCAAAAGTTGGTCCAGTAGATGGAGGAAAGGTGCTTCCCTGAGTCCTTTCCCACTCATTGTCATCATTTAGATCCTGGATCCAGAAACAGAAGCCATCTTCAAAATTACAGTTGATTTTCTCATAATCTGTAAATTAAAAATTTGCTTCAGATTGAGTCAACAATATGACTAATTATAATATATTGAATTGAAAATAATATATATTCATACAGTTTATAATCAAGTGGCATGCACAGAAACATTTTTTTAAATTAATGCTGTCTGTTTAATTTGATTTAGTTAAAAAAACAAAACAAAACAGCTTTTATTGCCAACAGTGTTAATATGTTTCTTATGCCCCATTAGGACTTTAGCCAAGACAAGCCTTTTGTTCTTACTGTTCTTTAAATTTTATAGCTTACCTCTGTTGACTTACCTGCATAAACTTTGTTCCCATTTTTTTTCTCCCTCTATCTATTTACTAAATTTAATACTCTGGTCAAAACTGAATTGATGTGGAACATTCTCAGAATTAATTTTATGTTAATTTTTAATCTTTGAATACTTGCAGTATATAAAAGTTTAATTTAATTTTTCTATTGATTTATATTTTTTAATTGGTTATTTCATTGTTTTGAAGGATGTGATTTTCTAATTTCTCATTTCTTTCCAAGTATCAAGTGGAGAAAGGTATACATAAGAGATACTCATTGAAGAACTTGCACAATGAAACAGATAATGATCCTTTTCTAAAATATTAGGTTCTGTTGCTTTTAAAATTCCATTATAGCATTAAAGCACCTGAAGATTCAAAGACTAAGGAATAAACAGTACTTACTATGAAGCTCTTTGCTGTTAAATGTAGTGTATGTTACTTTGAAGCCGATATAATCACTTTCATCAGAACCTATAAGAAATGTGGCAGTAACTTGATTGGAAAAAATCCTAATTATGCCAGGATTATTTGACCAGAGAGAAGCTACAAAAGAAAAAAAAAAGAATGTTTTATGTACATATGTATCTATTCATTTATCTATTGATGTGTTCATCATTCATCTATCCATTCATCATTCTACTGATCTATCAATCTTTTTATCTGATGCTAAGGTTAACTGAAAGCATTAGTCCTAAAGTTAATTTATTTGAAATAAAGTGTCCCTTGCTTTATTATAATAATGTTTCAAATTAGAAGTACATAAGTTAAAAAGTTATGAAACAAAAAATGACTTTAATATTATCAGTATTTCCCATGCTACACTAACAGGGGCTAAACATCAAAATAATAGAAATAAGGGTATCTGTTTGTCTCTTTATTTACATAACTGTAGGACCTCAAAACACTCCTAGGCAATTTAAGTATTGCTTCTACAGAATTTTATTTATTTATTTTTCATTTATTTTTATTAGTTGGAGGCTAATTACTTTACAGTATTGCAATGGTTTTTGCCAAACATTGACATGAATCAGTCAGATTTACATGTGTTCCCCATCCCAATCCCGCCTCCCTCCCCTTCCCATCCCTCTGGGTCTTCCCAGAGCAACAGCCCTGAATTTTATATTGATCTTGCGTGCTGTGCTTAGTCGCTCAGTCGTGTCCAACTCTTTGCAAGCCCATGGACTGTAGCCCGCCACGCTTCTCTGTCCATGGGATTCTCTAGGCAAGAATACTGGAGTGGGTTGCCATGCCCTCCTCCAGGGGATCTTCCCAACTCAGAGATCGAATCCAGGTCTGCTGCATTGCAGGCAGATTCTTTACGGTCTGAGCCACCAGGGAATCCCATATTGATCTAGTTACTTTTCTATCTTAATTCTAGCTATAAAAGATATTATCTTTCTAAATCTTTGATTCTCATGAATTTATATAGTGCTTGAGAAATAAGTACTCACATGATGATTTTTTTAAAAGCATTGTTATACTTTCTTTTTATAAAAATTTGTTTTAAGCACATACATTGTGAAAGAGGGTGATATTGCCTCTTAGATGGTAAAAAATTTATAAATGGTAAAATTTTTCTCAGGGGCAGAAGAAAAATTGTTAGATTTTATAATTCTTAAAAAATTATAAATGGTAAAATTTTTATCAGAAGCAGAGGAAAAATTCTTAGATATTCCTACANCCCCCGTGGCTCAGATGGTAAAGTGTCTGCCTGCAATGCGGGAGACTGGGGTTCAATCCCTTAGTAGAGAAGACCCCCTGGAGAAGGGAATGGCAACCCACTCCAGTATTCTCACCTGGAGAATTCCATGGGCAGAGGGGCCTGATGGTCTACAGCCCATGGGGTCGCAAAGAGCTGGACATGATTGAGCGGCTAATACACACACAATCCAATGGTTCCCATATTGAAACTTTTTGTGGTCCATAAATGTCTAGTTGCTTGAAGGATGTTACTATTTAAGAAATTTTGCTTCAAACCTATCTGCCTATCTTTCTTGCTTTTTTTTCTATAGCAATATAGTTTTTGGGGAAAATGACTTCTGGTAGAATCTGACTGTGGCTATTGGTTCATAGGGACTTGCCTAGTGGCTCAGTAGTAAAGAATCTGCCTGCCGATGCAATAGACATGGGTTTGATCCCTGGGTCAGGAAGATACCCTGAGAAGAAAATGGCAGTGCACTCCAATATTCTTGCCTGGGAAATCGCATGGACGGAGTAGCCTGGCAGGCTAATATTCCTGGGATTGCAAACAGTTGGACATGACTGAGTGACTAATACACACACACCACAATGTGATTATTTTTGTCATAGGACAAGCTGACAATTCAAGACGAGCCTCAAAAAGATGCATTATGTATATTACATATCTTCAGCTACACCGTGCCACTTTTGTGTGATTCAGTTTTAAAAACATGATCTTAAACTAAAACCTCCAATACTAAGGATATGATAATAACAGTCCTTTGGTCTAACAGTCATTTGGGAATGGAATAATAGCTAAGCATTTAGGCTATAAAGAAAAGAGTAATGAATACATACACAGAAAAAATGAAATTCTGAGGGTGGCAACTTGAAATTGCTTTCACCATTCTCACACAGGCTGTTATTGTTGTCTTTCTTTGCAGATTCATAAATATATATATATGTATTTTTGAATAAAATATTAATAGAATATTAATCATCTTCTATAATTTTCATTATGGGGACTGGAATGTAAAAGTAGCAAGTCAAGAAACACCTGGAGTAACAGGCAAATTTGGCCTTGGAGTACAGAATGAAGCAGGGCAAAGGCTAAAATTTCGCCAAGAGAACGCACTGGTCATA